TTCCATAGCTCTTCTGTTGATATTGTACCCAAAATGTATGAAGCCTTCTCTAGGTCTTTTTTGCATTTTGTAGGTACCATTGCAGCATGTGGCTACCCATTTGTTGACCTTCACTCTCATTCATTTCTTTCTTTAATTATACATTTTCCCAATGATATCCCTTACACCATTTCTTGCGCATTGAACATCTTGAGAAATATAGTGCAGATTCTTTGTTCCTAACATATGTCTTTCCACTGTCCATTGTGAAAAATGAAACTTTCATTCTCCAGAGATTGTTGTGTTCCAAGATTTGTAATTATTCAGTATAACTATGAGAACTTATTTTTTTATAATTTTTTGTTGTTTTTATTGTTTCAAGAAATCATTTGAGGTCATTGAGATTGGTTGACTTGAAGTTTTTGTCCTTGGAATAGACAATCATCTATACAGAGTCCAGGTGGAAGGTGAAGTCTCTGTAGATGGCAAAGTCCTCCAAATGCTCCTGATTTTTGATGATATTGTGACCCAGAATATTACTGGTCCTTTTAAGTAAGCCAATATTGTGCAATACCAATTAGTCTAATAATCCATACATAAAAACTAAATGGATAAAAAATGTTTGTTGTCTAGACTATAACATGTAGTTGGGTAGACAATTCAATGACTTAGTATATTAGTACATGTATCAGGGACTGCAAATGCAAGTGGATGATGAGGTCTGTGCAAAAATGGACAAGAAGATGAATTTGGGCTGAATTGTGTATGGGAAATTGTATAGTGCTTTCAAGCTGCTCCTTGGTGCCAAAACTCATCTCTCAACACAAATGATGGAAAGCTTGATAAGTCTTTAAACTGACTACTCTAATTGGAACAGAGGACTTATTCTTTTAAATAGTGAGAAGTAGGGAATATGGCATTTTCATTCAGCATGATCCATATAGGAATGGGTCAACTTTGCTCAAATACAGGTCTCTAGCATAGTTTCTCTATTCAGGTACGGTAAGTAGACTTCTAGCTTACAAATCTTCAAGATAGGAAGCAGGACTTTCCCCCTTCTGCTGAATAGTTTCTGTCACAGTGTGTACCTCCTTGTAATGAATCAAATTCATACCACCAGGGTGTGGTGGGGTTGAAAGAACAATGATCTGGGAGTCAAAGGTCATGGTTTGGATTTCTGGCTTTACTACTTATTTTCTTTGTTATTTGGGTAAATGATCTCATCTCTCTAGCTCATAGTTTCCTCATAAGTAAAATGAAGAGGTTGGCTCTAAGTTCCCTCAGAACTCTAGATCTCTGGTTCTAACATTCCATCTAAATATTTTCTTTACCAACTAAATAGCATGAGAGGCTCTTTCCATGTTTCTGAAGGCTGTGGCCTAAATCCCTGTAGTATTCCTCAGGGCTTAATGGCAAAAAAAAAAAAAAGAAAAGAAAAAAAAAGAAAATTCTCAAAGCTTAATGCCTGTGCTTTGGGTTTTCAAAGTATTATACTATTTACTCCCTGTTTGTCAATGAGTTGGATTTTTATTTGTTTTTGTTTTTGTTTTTTTTTTTGCAGCTAACTTTACTCTTTCAGATCACCACAGGGCCATTTAGTAACCATTCATATAGTTAATAATTATTATAATGGGTGGAACAAACTGCATTCTCCTTCCTTGTTGCCTTTGTGGAAAAATTGAAGTTACAAATTGGAAACTGGGAAGGGATGCACTCCTTTGGTCTTCATGTTTTCATATTTTCTCTATTACTATGTTTGCGAATGCTACAAGGGAATCCCAGAGTGAAGAAATGAACATATTATAAGCAACTTGAGGGCAGTGACTATGCCCTATGGACTTTTGAATCCTAGTTAGGGCTTCATAATAGTAGGTACTTGATTTGAGGGGTTTTTATTGAATAATAGTTCATATTTTGAGAGGCCTTGAGGCATAGTGAAAAGAGTCAACCTCTGAGTTAGGTCGATGATACCTGGGTTCAAATCATACCTCTAACACATACTGGAGCTGTGAGTCTGGGCAGGGTTTCCCTGGCAATTCTCTGGGAGTATAAGTTTCAGAACTGCTGTACTTCTTTCTTTATTAAAAGAGTTTCTTCACTAGAGCAAATGCATGAAAGAAAGAAAGCATTTATTAAGGTTTCTTATAAAAAATTCTGGGAATATAGATATAAAAGTAAGACAATCTCTCCCCTTGAGAAGTTCAGATTTTCATAGTGGGGAGACAATTCTTTTAAGAAAGTTAGAACCAGGGGAAAGATTCTTGATATCATTAGAATAGTGAATGGAATCAGAGGGCAGTTGATTGCCACACCTTTCTGGAAAGGCCAGAAACCATGGACTAAATGATTTAATTACTATGCCCAAATCAAAAGGTAGAAAGTTGGGGCAAGGGAATTGATAGATGGGATGTGAAACATAGTTTAGAGTGATCTAGGTGTAATGAATTAAGTGAATTTTTACTCATTCATCAGTCAGCATAATCCAGTTCTAGGCAGAGTTTCAAAGCTAAGTGGATTAACTGTTCCAAGGGAGGCAAGACATGTTCTCTGGAGTGGCAGTGGGTGATATTTCTAGGTAGAAAGGAGCATTGCAGCAGCGGTGAAGATGTCAAAATCCCAAGGGATAGAAGGCAATATGGGAAACTCCATGCCTTATCCAAACATCTTTGTAGGGTAGGCACTAATTTTGATTGGACATGAGGGACACAGAACAACTGGAAGGAGCTCCATTGTTGTCCTGAGCTGGAGTGATTAGTGCACCTGAAGGCAGAAATCTACGCTCATGTAAACCCTTAATAAACTGTTTTTGTGTGTTTGTTTTTATTTCTGCTTTTGCAGCTAAGTTGCTCTTTCAGGCTACTAAAGCACCTATTTAGTAACCATTAACATGGTTAATAATCATAATAATGGGTCCAAGGACTTGTGTTGTCTCCTTGTTGCCTTCATGGAAGAAGAAAGTTACAAATTGAAGACTGAAAAATGATGCACTCACTTGGTCCCCAAATCTTAGCATTCTCCCTATTAATATTTTTTCAGATGCAACAAGGGAATACTATAGTGAAGAAATGCGTTCATTACAATCTCTTCGAGCTTACAGTCAATTAACTATAGATTCATGATCTCAAAGACTAAATATTCCTTATGAAGCCTACCCCAGTTGCCATAGCAATTTCTACCTTCTCTAGATTGGCTTTGGGGATAGTCCTTAGCTGTTTGTGATGGGCTGAACTACCAATCGGTTGGGGTAGTTGAGAGGGCTAGTTACTGATTTCTCTTAATCTCACGGTGCTTGCTATTTTAAGTAAACTGAACTATGTTCTTTACTTCTGATATAAATTCTAAGTAGTTTGCTAATACAGCTAGATCTGAGGGAAAAATGGGGAATTTAGAATAGGAGGAGAGCATGAACCAATGATAACATCTGAGTTTGGGAACAATATGAAGAACAGATTCCCTTCCCCATTCTATTTGTGGCAGCTTTATTCCAAGAGAATTTAATGTAGTGGATTGTGTTTGAAAAAAATAGGTCAACCTGAAAGTATTTCCCTTCAACAATGCAGCAGCCACTGAAGATCATTTTTTATTGCTGTTGCTAGTGCTGTTGATTTCCCATTAGATCCCTTTACCAAACAGATTAGCTGTGTTTTCATTACATCTTTAACCCCGTGGTGTATAAAGCAAATAAAGTGCCAATCTGATATGAGTAGTTACCTAGTACATAATAATCACTTAACAAACGTGTAAATTGACTGGTATCCTATTACACTGTTTAGTGGTATAGTATTGATGTTGTTATGTTGCTATAATATATGGGAATGATAAATTGTACCATGTTGATTCAGCTATTGGAGAACAGGCATGCAGCAATCATATTTTGATTCCTATAGAGGACTTTTTAATTTTGGGTCTACCTGATGACTATGGGGAGGAAGCTATTGAAAGTGCTTTAATATTAACTAGAAAAGGTAAGAGAATGTAGCTGGTACCCTTGGAATCATACCATAAACGTCTGCAATTACTCATAAAGCTAGATGGTTAGTACTAGTCTAATATATACTATGCTGCCTCAGTGAGAGCATGCCTATAAGGTGCTGCTTCCTAGCAAGCCATGATGGAAACAAAGCTAGGAAAGCTTTCCTGTGCCCTGTAATTTTCCTTCCCTGTCAATGGGTGCTATAGTCATTTCCATTGTAGTGTTTTGCTGGGGAAACCCACTGAACCATTCTTTGGACTTATCAAACTGTTCCTGGAAATATGGGGAATCTCCTAGGTACAATTTCACTTTTAGACTAAACAAACTATGCTCAGAAATCAGATGGAGCAAAAATATAAGTTGGATTGGTGCTCTTAACTTAGAAGGTATTGTTTCCAGATCACTGAAAAACAACAACAACAACAACAACAAAAATAAAAGTACTTCAAGTCATTTGTCTATTGAGTTAGAGTCTGGACCCAGAACTTGAGCAAACAGTAAAAAAAAATCATAGGATCATAGATTTAAACCTGGAGGGGACCTTAAAGGCCATTTAGTCCAACCCCATATTTTATTTTTTTCCCTCAGACCATTTATTTAACAATTATTCCAAATAAATTCCATAGATATTAATGTTAAAGCAAAAGGCATAATAAATCACAATACACATATCACACTCTCTGAATACACACCATAATCTGCTATTAAATGTGCATGAAGAAACAATTTTCAATGTCCACATTCAGATATGGACAGTTTGAGACTGAAAATGACCTGTGCATAATTTTTGAATGCTACAGCATCTCACCTGAGAGGTGGTGAAAACTAGATAGACATTACAGGAATTTCAGAGAAGCAGACAGACATGGGAGGAAAACACATGGGCTTAGAGTAAAGCACAACTTCGGATTGCAGTTCACCCTCATCACTCCTCATCTTCTCCATATGAACATAGCATTTTTATAAGCCCTTTCAATTAACCCTCACCCTTTAAATGTAGTTGAGAAAACCTCAGGTTTTAATGGTATTATCCTTCTCTTTACACCAGGAGGACTGCAAAATTTATCAAACTATCTCCAGCCAGTTATTCATTCAGATGATTGCTGCCTTTTCCAGTCAGAACAGGCCTCCCAGCCACCAAGCTGAGGTTGACTTTTTAAGCTTGTTGACCTGGCTACCAAAACAAGTTGTGGAAGCCCTTCTGCTTTACCTGCTCAAGCAAGAAGGGGCAGCACAAGTATACCTGCTGACAAGGCAGAGTGCAGCAAATGAAGAAGAAAAGAAGACCAAAGGCTGATCTGCCCCCACAGCAGCAGAAAACTCTAAGCAAAGCAGTAGCCAACTTTAGTTGGTCATGGATAGTCCAAGCTTTCTTTCAGGAATACCCTCAGCCACAGTATGTACCCATACACCAAAAGGAAAGAAGCCTCGATATGTGCCCTAGCTTCCCCCACCTCCTCCCCCACCAGATGGCCACCGCAGCCCCTCCAGCAAGCTCTCCCTCAAGGTAGTTTCCCTGATAAAAGTTAAAAAATAGATTTAATCAAAACATTAACTGTCCAGGATGATTGCTATTCGCTCATTTTTTCCTTAAGTGTCAGCTGAAGCATACTATTCTCCATACCTCCAATTTTAAAATGTGTTTCTTCTATAAACATTGTCAGGTTCTTATTTTTGGTCCATTGTACTATCCATTCACATTCAAAATTCTAATTGCTTGTTGTGTATGTGTATACACAGACACACACACACACAGACACACACAGACACACACACACATATTTCCCTATATTCCAGGGCTTCAAAGAAGTTCAGAAAAAGCAGGCATTCTCCAGGGGCTGGACTATCCCCCACCCCAAGGGCTTCAGTACTGTTGACCCCAGCTCAGCACCAGGTAAGCTGTCAGACCTCTATGGCCTCCAGCTGCCACCACCTGAGGTCTCAGCACATAGAGACCGACGAGGTCGCTGCACCCCAGCAAAAGAAGCTTGGGTCAGTGCCCCGTGCTTAAATCCAGGAAATAGGCAAACACAAGAAAAAGCAGAAAAGGCTGATTCAAATCACCAATTCAGATCAAAACACAAATTCAGAGGAGGCAGAGCCAAGATGGTGGAGTGAAAGCAGTGACTTGCTTGAGCTGTCCTCCAAACCCCTGCAAATACTCATAAAAAATGGCTCTAAACAAATTCTGAAGCAGCAGAACCCACAAAAAGACAGAGTGAAACAAATTTCCAGCCCAAGACAACCAGGATGATTGATCAGAAAGGTGCATCACGCCAGGCTGGGAGCCCAGCGCAGCATGGCGTGGGCGCGCAGGCCACCTCGAACCTGGAGCAGGCCTCAGAGGACTGAATTGCGGGCAGCTATGGAGGTTTCCAGACTCCTCAATCCACCAATGCCAAAGACAACTTAGAAGGTCAGTGGGAAACGTCTGTTTCTGTCGGTGCTGAGAAAGGAAGGCGGGGTTTCAGCTCCATTCCCCAAGAGCACGGTTTGGGGAGGGGGCAGTTGCTACCCGAGCTTCTGGCCTACAGACTGAGAGGGAATCCAGTGGCTAATCAGAGAGGGATTGCAGGGATCTCTTTGCCAGTGCTGAGACAGGAATCTCTTGCTTTGCCCATGTTTGGGTCTGGGTCACAGTTCTGGGTGGCTGTGTTGGGGTGAGGAGGAAGCTGGCTTGGTGGAGCTTGTAGTGATTGTGGAGAGGAGCCCCTCCTCACAGTTACAGGGCAGAAAGGAATACTTGTGGTCAAGGCCAGGAAAGGAGTAAACAACTCACCCCTTATCATACCATCTTGCAAGAACTGAAAATTTACAGGTACCTAAAAGTATCTCTGAAAACAGCTGTACAAACCCCTGAAGCCTGGGACAGTACATTCTCCACATTGGAAGCAGACTTTTAACTTAACAAAGAGTTTAAAACTCAAGTAATTGGCTGGGATCATGAGTGAGCAGCACAAAAAGAGTCAGACTATATTATCCTTATTTGGTGACAAAGAAGATCAAAATATACAACCAGAAGAAGACAACAAAGTCAAAGCTCCTACATCCAAAGCCTCCAAAAAAATATGAATCAGTCCCAGGCCTTGGAAGAGCTCAAAAGGGATTTTGAGAAGCAAGTAAGGGAAGTAGAGGAAAAACTGGAAGAGAAATGAGAGTGATGCAAGAAAATCATGAAAAACAAGTCAACAGCTTGCTAAAGGAGACCCAAAAAATACTGAAGAAAATAACACCTTAAAAAATAGCCTAACCCAAATGGCAAAAGAGGTCCAAAAAGCCAATGAGGAGAAAATGCCCTAAAAAGAAAATTGGCCAAATGGAAAAGGAAGTCCAAAAGATTACTGAAGAAAATACTTCCTTAAAAATTAGAATAGAGCAATTGGAAGCTAGTGACTTTATGAGAAATCAAGACACTGTAAAACAAATCCAAAAGAATGAAAAATTAGAAAACAATGTGAAATATCTCATTGGAAAAACAACTGACCTGGAAAATAGATCCAGGAGAGAGAATTTAAAAATTATTGGACTATCTGAAAGCCATGATCAAAAAAAGAGCCTAGACATCATCTTTCAAGAAATTATCAAGGAAAACTGCCCTGATATAGTAGAACCAGAGGGCAAAATAGAAATTGAAAGAATCCACAGATCTCCTCCTGAAAGAGATCCCCAAAGGAAAACTCCTAGGAATATTATAGCCAAATTCCAGAGTTCCCAGGTCAAGGAGAAAATATTACAAGCTGCCAGAAGGAAACAATTCAAGTACTGTGGAAACACAATCAGAATAACACAAGATTTAGCAGCTTCTACATTAAAGGACTGCAGGGCATGGAATATAATATTCCGAGGGCAAAGGAGATAGGATTAAAACCAAGAATCACCTACCCAGCAAAACTGAGTATAATCCTTCAGGGGAAAAAATGGTCATTCAGTGAAATAGAGGACTTTCAAGCATTCTTGATGAAAAGACCAGAGCTGAATAGAAAATTTGACTTTCAAATACAGGACTCAAGTGGAACATGAAGAGGTAAACAGGAAAGAGAAATCATAAGAGACTTATTAAGATTGAACTGTTTACATTCCTGCATGGAAAGATGATATTTAACTCATGAGACCTTTGTCAGTATTAGGGTAGTTGGAGGAAAAAAATTTAATATGTATAGTAGATAGATAGAGGCACAGGGTGAGTTGAAGATTAAGGGGTCATATCTGGAGAATAAAATTAAGGGATGAGAGAGGATTATACTAGGAGAAGAAGAAAGGGAGAGGTAGAATGGGGTAAATTATCTCACAAAAAAAACAGAAAAGTCTCTTACAGTGGAAGGGGAAATGGGGAAGGTGAGAGGGAATGAGTGAATCTTATTCTCATAGGATTTGGCTTAAGGAGGGAATAACATACACATTCAATTGGGTATGGAAATCTGTCTTACCCTACAGGAAAATAGGGGGAAGGGGACAAGAGAACAGGGGATGATAGAGAGGAGGGCAGATTGGGAGGGGTAATAATAAATACTTCTGGGACAGGGTCAAAAGAAAGAATAGAATAAATGGGAGGGCAGGATAGGATTAAGAGAAATAGAGTTAGTTTTTCACAACATGTCTACTATGGACGTGTTTTGCATAACTGCACATGTACAACCTATATTGAGTTGCTTGCCTTTTCAATGAGGATGGGTGGGGAGGGAGGAAGACAGAAAATTTGAAACCTAAAGTTTTAAAAACATATGTTTAAAAAAATGTTTTCACATGCTACTGTGAAATAAGAAATACAGGAAATGGGGTACAGAAGTCTGTCCTGCCCTACAGGAAAATAGAAGGGTAAGGGGATAAGAGACGGGGAGAGAGATAGAAGAGAGGACAGACTAGGAAGGGATATTCAGAATGCATGACATCTTGGGGTGGGGGGAGGGGGGAGATGGGGTGAAACTTTGGAACTCAAAAACTTGTGGAAGTGAATGTTGAAAACTAAAGATAAACAAATTTATATTAAAGAAAACACCCCCCCCCCAAATTCAGAAGGGGACAACATTGTCATCCAAAACTTCAAAGGGTTTGAAATGGGCTCAAGCACAAAAAGCCTTTTTGGAAGAGCTCAAGAAGGATTTTAAAAGACAAATAAGAGGTAGAAGAAAAATTTGGAAAGACATGAAAAGTATGCAAGAGAGAGTCAATAGCTTAGCAAAAGAAAGGACAGTGGGAGCCAAGATTCCGGAGTGAAAAGGTAGTCGCTCTCACTCTCCCCTATCAATCTCTGAAAACCCAGAAAATATCACCCCAGAAAAAAAAAAAACCCTGGAAGTCCTGAAGTAGAAGAAAGACAAGGAGGAGCAGTGCAGTAGCCCAGCAAACGGGTCTCCCAGTGCCTCAGCAAAAATAAGGGGCCCCAGGCAGATAAGTACCCTGTGGCATTCATCTGAAAGGAGGTGAAGAAAAAAACCTAAAGGCTTCCTAAAGCCCCGGCCTTGCTGATTCCAACCCAACACCAGGTGAGCTGTAGGAGCCCTGAAGCCTCCAATTGTGAAGAAATCCTGAAGCCCAGGTGGTAGAGCAGGCAAACACCAACACCTGGACCTCCGAGTGCCTCAGTGAAGGGGGGAACTGGTGGAAACCAGCTCAGAAAACCACCAGGAGTCTCGGAACTCTACCACAAAGGAATCTCCTGGTTCATTAGCAGAAAGGAGGGAGACAACACTGCAGGGCCCCAGGCAGATAAACCCTGCAGCAGCCATCTAAAAGGAGCTGAAGAAAGCTAAAGGAAAGGAAAAGCAGGCAACCTAGAATTGCCTGAAAGTTCCAGCCTTGCTGATTCCAGCCCAACACAAGGTAAGCTGCCAGAAACCTACAGCCTCCAATTGCCAGCATAAGAGGCCCCAGCACACAAAGCCAGTGACCAAGACCTAGGCTCCCAACACAAGAAGCTTGGGTCAGTACCCTCTGCCCAGCAGGAGAGCTCAATCTCTTTAAAGGCCAGGGAATAAAGAAACACCATGAGTAAAAAAAATACCATAGATTCATATTATGAGAAGAGTGAAGATCAAGACAGAAATTCTGAAGAGGACAACATTGTCAACAAACCCACATCTGCAACAACAAAAGGGAATATGAACTGGTCTGAAGCCCAAAAAGCCTTCTTAGAAGAGCTCAAGAAGGATTTTAATAGTCAAATGAGAGAGGTAAAGAGTCCTTCAAAAATACAATTGGCCAATTGGAAAAAAAATACACTGAAGAAAACAAGTCCCTAAAAAACACAATTGGCCATTGAAGAAGGAAGTACAAAAACTAACAGAAGAAAACAATCTGTTAAAAACTAGAATTGGACAAATGGAAACTAATGTCTCTATGAGAGAGCAAGAATCAGTCAAACAGAAACAAAAAAATGAAAAAATAGATGAAAATGTAAAATACCTCATCAGTAAAACAACCGACCTGGAAAATCGACTCAGGAGAGACAATTTAAAAATTATTGGACTACCTGAAAATCATGATGAAAAAAAGAGCCTGGACAGTATCTTTCAGGAAATCATAAAGGAAAACTGCCCAGAAGTCCTAGAACCAGAAGGGAAAATAACCATAGAAAGAATCCACTGATCACCACCTGAAAGAGATCCCAAATTGACAACGCCAAGGAATATAATAGCAAAATTCCAAAATTACCAGATGAAAGAGAAGGTGCTGCAAGCAGCCAGAAAGAAAAATTTAAATATCATGGAACCACAGTCAGGATTACACAGGACCTTGCAGCTTCTACATTAAAAGACCACAGGGCATGGAACATGATATTCCTAAGGCAAAGGAGCTTGGAATGCAGCCAAGGATCAATTACCCAGCAAAAATGAGCATCATTTTTCAAGGGAGGAGGTGGATATTCAATGAAATAGGAGACTTCCAAACTTTCCTGATAAAAAGACCAGAGCTCAACAAAAAATTTGATCTTCAAGTACAGGACTCAAGAAGGACTTAAAAAGGTAAATGGGACAGAAGGATACAATATGTTGTTAATGGGGGGGGTGTTTAAACCCTACAAGGGAATATGAGACTTGCAACCCTTGAGAACTGTATTGTTATTACACCTTGTTAAAGGAGTATACATAAAGAGGTGGAT